CTAGCCTTACCCTAAGTGACAATACATTCGTATGAAATCATGAGTTTGATATGCTAGTTTCATTTTTTCCCTAATATATATTAATAGGTATACAACTAATCAAATTTAAAATATTGATATCCCTAAAATTATCTTACCAGTGGTACATGTGCCAAAAAGCAATACAGCTAAGGACTGTTTAGTCAGTCTTTGACCTTCTCCCTCACTCCTCATAATATCAATCTCTAAGTACAGTCATGCATCACTTGATGATGGAGATATGTTTTGATAAGGGTGTTGTTAGGTGAATTTATTGTTGTACAAACATCATAGTGTACACTTACACAAACCTAGGTAATACAGCATACTATACACCTAGACTATGGTACAGCCTATTGCTCCTAGGCTACAAACCTGGCTATCATGTTACCATACTGAATACTGTAGGCAACTGTAACCCATAGTAAGTAACTGTGTATCTAAGCATATGTAACCTTAGGACAAGTATGGTTACAAATATGGTATTATAATCTTATAGTAGCATACTTGGTCCATTATTGACTAAAGTGTCATTATGTGGAGCATGACTACTTTCAATCCATCCTTTATTATGACTCTTGCACTTACTTGGACCTCTCATTCTGATGCAGGCCCTCATTATCTCATGCTTAACTTGGTCATCTTAACGCAGTAGGCTCCTAGAAGTCTCTTTGTCTCCAATCTTTGCTCTATCCTATATTCTGCCATCAGATTTGAATCCTCGTAAAATAAGCTTTGGCCTCTACCCAAATAAATCTAAACTTTGCAGGCCACTGAAAACAATTACTTGATGTCTTCAGGAAAAAGTATTAAAAAAACTGGTCCTGCCCTACCTTTCTATCTCCATCTACAAGAATCCATTTAATTACAGAAGAGGCATTGTGAGCTTGGTCTTTACAACTTTATTCATTCCCTGCCTTCAACCTGAAAAGCCCCAGCCTCCAGTCAAACTTCTATCTACTTCAAATAGCCTCACTTCGAAACTTATCTGACCATTAGAATCTGCATTAGTATCTCCATTCCTGAAAGCCACACAATATCGGCTGCTCCTCATGACATTTACCATGCCCTGCCTTAAACTCCAGGCTACTTATTTCCTTCACTGTAAGTTCTTCAGGGTAAGACCATGTCTACTGTATCTTGTCATGTAATATGTATTTAGATAGTAAAATATTTGTAGGTAATGAATGAAGCAAAGCAAGCTCTTTTTGTTTGTTTTCGAGATGCAGTCTCACTCTGTTGCCCAGACTGAAGTGCAGTGGGGCAAATACAGCTCACTGCAGCTTTAACTTCCTGGACTCAAGTGATCCTCCCACCTCAGCCTCCCGAGTGGCTGGAACTACAGGTACACATCACCACAACCAGCTATTTTTTTTTTTTTTTTGAGATGCAGTCTCACTCTGTCATGCAGGCTGGAGTGCAGTGGTGTGATCTTGACTATCTGCAATCTCCACCTCCCAGGTTCAAACGATTCTCTTGCCTCAGCCTCCCGAGTAGCTGGGACTACAGGTGCATGCCACCACGCTTGGCTAATTTTTTGCATTTTTAATAGAGACAGGGTTTCACTGTGTTAGCCAGGCTGGTCTCGATCTCCTGACCTCGTGATCCACCCACCTTGGCCTCCCAAAGTGCTGGGATTATAGGTGTGAGCCACTGCACCGGCTAACACCCAGCTATTTTTTTTATTTTTTGAGGAGACAAGGTCTTACCATGTTGCTCAGGCTGCTCTCAAAATCCTAGCCTTAAGCAACCCTCTAACTCTAACCTCCCAAAGTGCTGGTATTGCAGGTGTGAGCCACCACACCTGGCTGTGGGGCCTTAAAGCAGCCAGCAAAATAAGTCAAATCCTATTTGACATACTTCAAAGGACCACCCAATTGTTTCTGTAGCCAAGTAAAACAATTCTCATAGATATTAAATGTCTGTAATATCTTTATTTTGCTTGTAATCAGTACACCACTAGCTAATGTCTAGGTTTAGCTATAATATAGTCTATCTCATATGCAGATGCCTCTTAAGCAGGTTAACTTTCTTTTTTCTGAGACAGGGTCTCACTCTATCACCCAGGCTGGAGTGCAGTGGCACAATCTCAGCTCACTGCAACCCCCACCTTCTTGGTTCAAGCAATTCTTCCACCTCAGCCTCCAGAGTAGCTGGAACTACAGGCACACAATGCCCAGCTAATTTTTGTACTTTTAGTAGAGACAGAGGGTTTCACCGTGTTGGCCAGGCTGGTCTCGAACTCCTAACCTCAAGTGATCCACATCTCTTGGCCTCCCAAAGTGCTGGGATTACAAGTATGAGCCACCGCACCCAATCATAAGCAGGTTAACTTGCTAAACTTGCATAATTCTCTAGTGTTATCACTGGGTTATTCTTTCTGGACTTCAGTTTTCCTATCTATAAGATGACCTTAAGATGTCTTCTAATCCCTTCATAGAATTCTATTTTATCTACGTATTTATAATATGTTAAGCACTTTTAATAGAACCTGTTTTTAGGGTAAAAACAGATGCTCAGATGCTAATCATTTTCTGGTACTCTCTACATTTTGGTAGCGACTACAAGGTATTTCACACGTATTATTTCATTTAATCTTCAAGATCCTAAAATGTAGGCATCTTTAGCCTAGTATTTCTCAACCAGGAAAGACTCGGCCCTACCCTTCTTTTAGGGAACATCTGTCAATATTCTGAGACATTTTTGTTGTCACAATTTTTGGAGGTTGGGGGGAAAATGGCCTCTAGTGGCGAGAGACCAGGGATGCTGCTAAACATCCTATGATGCTCAAGACACCTCCCACAACGAAAAAAATTATCTGGCCCAAAATAATATTGTGGAGGTTGAGAAACCTTACTGGCCTCAGCAACGCGGAGGAAACCGGAGTGAACCGAGAGTTTAGCCACCAACATGAGCCTCCTCAACAAGCCCAAGAGTGAGATGACCCCAGAGGAGCTGCAGAAGCCAGAGGAGGAGGAATTTAACACGGGTCCACTCTCTGTGCTCACTCAGTCCGTCAAGAATAACACCCAAGTGCTCATCAACTGCCGCAACAATAAGAAACTCCTGGGCCGCGTGAAGGCCTTTGATAGGCACTGCAACATGGTGCTGGAGAACGTGAAGGAGATGTGGACTGAGGTACTCAAGAGCGGCAAGGGCAAGAAGAAGTCCAAGCCAGTCAACAAAGACCGCTACATCTCCAAGATGTTCCTGCGTGGGAACTCGGTCATCGTGGTCCTGCGGAATCCGCTTATCGCCGGCAAGTAGGAGCCACCTATCCCTGTCAGTCAACAGAACTCACTCCCCTGTCCTACAGAGACCGCTGCCGCTGATGTTGAGAATAATAAAGCTCTGTGTTTTTTTCTAGTGGTTAAAAAAAAAAAAAAAGAAAGAAATCAGGCCAGGCACAGTGGCTCACACCTGTAATCTCAGCAATGTGGGAGGCTGAGGCAGGTGGATCACGAGGTCAGATGTTCAAGACCAGCCTGACCAACATGGTGAAACCCCGTCTCTACTGAAAATACAAAAATTAGTCAGGCATGGTGGTGCGCGCCTATAATCCCAGCTACTCAGGAGTCTGAGGCAAGAGAATCGCTTGAACCTGGGAGGTGGAGGTTGCAGTGAGCAGAGATCGTGCCACTGCACTCCAGCCTCAGCAACAGAGCAAGATTTCACTTCAAAAAAGAGAAAAAAGAAATCAAAGATTTAGAAAGCTTGGCTGGGTGTGGTAGCATACTCCTGCACTTTGGGAACCCAAGGCAGGTGGATAACTTGAGGCCAGGAGTTCGACTAGCCTGGGAAACACAGCGAGACCTCATCTCAAAATAAATAAACGAAAGCTTAACTTCCTGGCAGAGTTACACAGATGGTGCGTGAACAGTGAACTAAAATCATCTCTGTATGACACCAAAGGCAATGGCACATTCCATCACACACACGAATACTGATGACCGTTTTTGACAGTTCATATTGTTTCTTATCATTGTCCCCTCTCCCCCATTTAGTCTTGATATTTGAAATTCTCCTAATCAATATCAGTTAATCTCATCCAGGGAAAGGATTTAGAAGCAGCTTTCTGAGACTCTCAGGTCAGATTTGAATGTCTTCTCTTGTGCTCCCACTATATCTAGTATCTATAACTTGACAGTAGCAATTAACATATTGTACTGTGATTGCATGACTATCTATATTCTATAAAAGTGTGCAAGGTAGCATGTAAAAAGAGTGGTAATCTCTCCTAAATACCAGAACTATAAAGGAGCCATAGATTTTACTTGATAGTCTCCCTGAATTCAGCACTCACTACATAGAAATTGATGCTATTTTGAGTTGTCACAGGAACTGTGTATAAAAACTAAGATAGAGTCTCTTAGGAAAAAAGAACTCACTTTAGCTTTTATTTTTAGACTATAAGCTTAAGAGAAAGGTATTCCTTTTTATTTTTGTGTACCTAGTGCCAAGCAAAGTATCTCAACACAGAGCATACATTTCATAAATGTGTGTTCAACAAATAAAACAGACTAAATTACGTAATGTATCCAAGGATACAAAGCTACTAAATAACAAAACCAGGGTTCAAATCCAAGTGTCTCCATTGCCAAAGCCTATAATTACTGTCTTAATAAAGATAAAAATTAGATGTTTATATTCTCTTTGTCTTGCTTGTGGGAATTCTTTGGTCACAAACATCAGAAATTATATCTATACAAATTCCTGTTTTAAAGATAGCCTATAATCATATGAATTTTCTTATAAGAGCTTCTAATTTTAGTATCTATATTCTATAAAGCTTGCAAGGTAGTTAGCATGTAATAATAGTGGTAATCTCTCCTAAATACCAGAACTTTAAAGGAGCCATAGTTTTTTATTTGATAGTCTCCCTGAATTCGGCACTCACTACATAGAAATTGATGTGATTTTGAGTTGTCACAGGAACTGTGTATAAAAACTACGGTAGAGTCTCTTAGGAAAAAAGAACTCACTTTAACTTTAGCTTTTATTTCTTCACTGTTCCCTTCGTCCTCTTTGCGGGGTTCCATGCCAGAATCCTCCTGGATGTCTTTGTTTAGTACAGAGTACTCTTCTAGTAGAGTGTCAAACAAAACTATTCGCTTGTTCTTGAAGAAGCCATAAAAATAAGCATTGCTGTGGGAAGAGCGTTTAGATCCTAAGGAAAAGACAGTTCAAAGCATGGAATATAATTAAAAGTTTGGGGTCCTCTGGAGAGACTCCTAGAAATTGAATTACTAAAAAGGACATTAACATTTTCAAATTGTTTAATATGTGAAGAAAAACCATACCAACATAATTCACTACCAGCAGTGGAGAGGGTTTTTTGTCAATAAATGTGCTCATCACAGCTTCATAGCAGTAAGTAAATAAGTAAAGCCTAAACCATCCAACATTTATGGAATTATTCAATTATAGTAAAACTAGGAAATAGAATTTTAAGCAGCCAGAAAAAAATTATACTTCTAAAGAATTTTAACAAGAAAAGCTTACCAATATATTATGAAGGATACAAAACTTCACGTATATAAGATTTCATTATTGTCAAAAAAAATGTACATGTATTAGGTTGGTGCAAATGTAATTATGGTTTTTGCATTGTTGAAATTTGCTGTTTGATATTGGAATATATTCTTAAATAAATATGATTATGTTATACATCTTTTTTTTTTTAAGAGAGAGTCTTGCTCTGTCACCAGGCTGGAGTGCAGTGGCGCAATCTCGGCTCACTACCACCTCTACCTCCTGGGTTCAAGCAATTCTCATGCCTCAGCCTCCCAAGTAGCTGGGACTACAGGCACGCACCACCACACCTAATTTTTATATTTTTAGTAGAGATGAGGTTTCACCATATTGGCCAGGCTGATCTTGAACTCCTGATTTCATGATCTACCCACCTCAGCCTCCTAAAGTGCTGGGATTACAGGTGTGAACCACCATAGCTGGCCCTGTTATACATCATTTTAATGTGCATTTCTTACATTATGCTTTTTGCTAATGACTTATCACTTGCTGTTTATTTTATATTTATTTTAGATAATGGAATTGATGTTAGACAAAAAGCAAATTCGGCTGAGTGGAGTAGCTGATGCCTGTAATCTCAGCACTTTCCAAGGCTGAGGCGAGCAGATCACTTGAAATCAGGAGTTCATAACCAGCCTGGCCAACATGGTGAAACTCTGTCTCTACTAAAAATACAAAGTTAGCCAAGCATGGTGGCACATGCCTTTAATTCCAGCTACATGGGGGGTTGAGGCATGAGAATCGCTTGAACCTGGGAGGCTGAGGTTGCAGTGAGCACAGATGTTACCATTGCACTCCAGACTGGGCAACAGAGGGAGACTGTCTCAAAAAAAAAGCCAATTCAAGCAATTTTCTTATTCGAGTTCAAAATAGGGTGTAAAGCAGCAGAGACAATCCCCAACATTAACAACGCATTTGGCCCAGGAACTGCTAATGAATGTACAGCACTGGTGGTTCAAGAAGTATGCAAAGGAGACGAGAAGCTTGAAGATGAGGAGTGCAGTGGCTGGCTGTCAGAAGTTACAATGACCAATGGAGAGGAATCATCGAAGCTGATCCCCTTACAACTACACAAGACGTTGCCAAAGAACTCAATGTCGACCATTCTAAGGTCGTTTGGCATTTGAAGCAAATTAGAAAGATGAAAAAGCTTGATAAGTGGGTGCCTCATGAGCTGAGTGAAAATTTTTTTAAAAAATCATTGTTTTGAAGTGTCTTTTTTTATTCTACACAACAACAAATCATTTCTCTATCAGATTTTAACGTAGGACGAAAGGTGGATTTTATGCAACAACGGGCAATGACCAGCTCAGTGGCCAGACCCAGAAGCTCCAAAGCACTTCTCCCAAAGCCAAATTTGCACCAAAAAAAAGGTTATGGTCACCATTTGGTAGTCTGCTGCCAGTTTGATCCACTATAGCTTTCTGAATCCCAGCAAAACCATTACATCTGAAAAGTATCCTCAGCAAATCAATGAGATGCACAGAAAACTGCAACATCTGCAACCAGCACTGGTCAACAGAAAGGGCCCAATTCTTCTACAAGACAACACCCGACCGCACATTGCAAAACCAGTGCTTCAAAAGTTGAACAAACTGGGCTACGAAGTTTTGCCTGATCTGCCACATTCACGTGACCTCTTGCCAAGTGACTACCACTTCTTCAAGCACGTCGAAACTTTTTAAAGGGAAAACGTTTCCACAACTAGCTGGATGCAGAAAACGCTTTCCAAGAGTTTGCTGAACTCCAAAGCACAGATTTTTACACTACAGGAATAAACAAACTTATTTCTCGTTGGCAAAAATGTGTTGAAGGTAATGGTTCCTATTTTGATTTATAAAGGTGTGTTTGAGCCTAGTTATAATTATTTAAAATTCATGGTCTGAAACCTCAATTATTTTTGCACCAACCTAATAAATATTAATAGAAAAGCATAAGCCCATGCCTATTAGGAAACATACCAAAGTATTGAAGTTTTCATCACTAAGTTTTAGAATTATGGATTTTTGTTTCCTTTCCCCCCGCCCTAAGACTTTTAAAATAAGCATACCTACTTCTATAATTAAAGCAATTTTTATAAAGACTGGAAGAAGACATACCTTTTTTTTTCGTTTGAGACAGGGTCTCTCTCTGTCACTCAGGCTGCAATACAATGGTATAATCATGGCTCACTGCAGCCTTGACCTCCTGAGCTCAATCAAGCCTCCTGCCTCAGCCTCCTGAGTAGCTAGGACTATAGATACATACCACCATGCCCAGCTAATTTTTTGTAGAGACAGGGTCTTGCTATGTTGCCCAGGCTGATCTCTAACTCCTGGGCTCAAGCAATTCTCCTGCCTTGGCATCCCGAAGTGCTGGGATTACAGGTGTGAGTCACCACAGCCGGGCCATACCTAAATTTTTAATAGTAGCTAACAGTACCTGAACTATGGTTGATTTTTATTTTCTTCTTTATATACTTCTTTGATTTCCAAATGTTCTACAATGTGCAGTGAGTTGAGTGTAGTGACTAACAGCATAGACTTTGGGTTGAAATCTTGGCTTTGCCATGTATCAGCTGTGTAAATTTAGGAAACTTTCTTAATTTCTTTAAACTTTAGTTTCCTGTTTATGAAGTGAGGCTAGTATTTACCTCATTGGCTTAGATTAAGGATTACATGAGATATTCTAAGTGAAGCAATTAGTATGCTGTCTAATCCTGTATATTGCCACTATTATTTATATGCTTTTTTTCAAAAAAGGAATGATAAACATTTATTTCTCTTGAGAATCTGAAGTGTCTCACAGAAAACATGAATTTTCTATCAAATCCTATTTTTAATGAAAAGTAACTGGCAGTATGTTTAGTAGTAAAACTTTGACAAATAGAAGCTGTCATTTATTGCATTATTCTATTTCTTTTTGGTTTGAGGAAGAGCCAAACATGTGGTCCAGTTTTGTCAATAATATAGGACTTTAGGACCTGGAAAGCTGTGTTACCCTTTGAAGTCCATCCTTCTATATCATCTCTATCTTTTCCAAGCTTAAATTTTTTTTTTTTTTTTTTTTTGAGGGGAGGGTGGGGAATGGAGTCTTGCTCTGTTGTCCAGGCTGGAGTGCAGTGGCACGATCAGCTCACTGCAGCCTCCGCCTCCCAGGTTCCAGCAATTCTCCTGCCTTAACCTCCTGGGTAGCTGGGTTTACATGCACATGCCCCCATACCAGGCTAATTTTTGTATTTTTAGTAGAGATGGGGTTCACCATGTTGACCAGGCTGGTCTTGAACTCCTGACCTCAGGTGATCCTCTCACCTCAGGCTTCCAAAGTGCTAGGATTACAGGCATGAGCCACCACGCCTGGCACTGATCCTAAATTTTTTAATTAATTTAAAAATATTTCTTAGACTCTATCCGAAGTTATTTATGAAAATAGGCAGATTGGATGCACACAAACAAAAGTAAATTAATGTCTTACTATCTCCCATTGGTCCAGGTATCTCAAAGTGTGGTCCAAGGAATACCTATACCAAAATCACCTAGGGGTGTTTTCAGAAGTAGATACTGAAACACCTACTAAGTAGTACTGGAAACACCTACTAAGTCAGAATCTCTTGGAATGAAGCCCAGAAATGTGTCTTTTAACAAACTCTCAAGGGACTTTTATACTTACTAAACTTTAAGAATCCCTTGGCCAGGGGTGGCTCACACCTGTAATCCCAGCACTTTGGGAAGCCGAGGTGGGCAGATCACAAGGACAACAGACTGAGACCATCCTGGCCACCATGGTGAAAGCCCATCTTTACTAAAAATACAAAAATTAGCTGGGCGTGGTGGTGCACGCCTGTAGTCCCAGCTACTTGGGAGGCTGAGGCAAAAAAATTGCTTGAACCTGGAAGGCGGAGGTTGTCGTGATTCAAGATTGCACCACTGCACTCCAGCCTGGCGACAGAGCGAGACTCCATCTCAAAAAAAAAAAGAATCCCCATCCTCTAACATAAGCTTTTTATATCACTGTGTCTGGCATGCAGGATACAGTCATGTACCGCATAACAACATTTCAGTCAACAAACGACATATAGGACAGTGGTCCCACAAAATTATAATGAAGGTAAAAAATTCCTGACATCATAGCCACTGTAATGTTGTAGCACAGCACATTATCTTTTCTATGTTTAGATACACAAATGCTTATCATCATGTTATAATTGCCTATTCAGTACAGTAATATGGCTTGTAGTCTAGAAGCAAGAGGCTATACCATACAACCTATGTGTGCAGTAGGTAATACCGTCTAGGTTTGTACGAGTATATTCCACGGTGTTTGCATGACAATGAAAAGCCTAATGATGCATTTCTCAGAACATATTCGCATCGTTAAGTGATGCATGACTGTATATTCAATTATGCTTATTTACTGAATGGATTAATCATAGCACTTGAGGTATGAAGTAACATTATTTGAGAATTCCAAAAATCAAAACATTCTACAAAAATGTAATGCATTGTCATTTTTTGTTTAGAATGCCTCCTCGTAATCAACCTGTTAGCACCATTTAACGTCGTTGACCACCTTCTCCTTAAAACACAATATTCTCCTGGCTTTTGAGACACCAGTTTCTCCTGGTTTTCTTCTACCTCAAGGGCCTCTCCTCCTTAGCCTCCTTCCTGGCTGTTTCTCTGCTGACTCTGACTCTGGCCCTCTTCTCTTCTCTAAGAGCCCTCATCGATGGCATTAAACATCATCTATGTGCCAGATATTTCCAAATCTGTATTTTTAGAGCTGATCTCCCCCTAAAACTCCAGACTCATACATACAGCTACCTATTTGACATCTCCACAGAGATGTCTAGAGACATATTTGTTGTTCGTATTCTTGTGTATGGTCTTTTTTCCTGTCTAATATTAGAATTTCCTTTCAGAGTTTAGAAAGTATCATATCACATGAGAAGCTGCTTGTCATTTGAGAAATCTAAAATGCCAGGTATTTGTTTTCTCAACACTCCGAAGAGCTAGCCCCATGCCTTGGCTTAGTCAATCAGATGCACCCATGGGGGACTCTGAATAGCTAGCTAATTACACACACACACACACACACACACACAGCAGTGAGGAATTAATTCTGCAGGTGCTAGTGGCTAAATCCAGTATTCTGAGGTAGCCACAGCAGTGTCCTCACCAGACAGGTTCTGCAGTATGATTATAAGTTCCTAACCTTCCTATGTAACGGCCCATGAGCTTGGTAAACTTAACTTTCCTGTATATTATGTAAGAGAGCATATATTCTTTTTTTTTTTTGAGACAGGGTCTCACTCTCTTGCCCAGGCTGGAGTGCAGTGGCGCAATCTTGGCTTACTGAAACCTCCACCTCTTGGGTTCAAGTGATCCTCCTGCCTTAGCCTCCCTAATAGCTGGGACCAAGGTGCATGCCACCATGCTCAGCTAATTTTTGTATTTTTAGTAGAGACAGGGTTTTATCATGCTGGCCAGGCTGGTCTTAAACTCTTGAGCTTAGGTAATCCACCTGCCTTAGCCTCCCAAATTGCTAGGATTACAGACATGAGCCACTGCTCCCAGCCAAATATTGTTTCAATAAGCAGTTTTTCTGCTTAAATCAGCCATAGTTGGTTTCTATTGCTTGTAGAACTCTGACTAATATGTAATATAGCCATTAGAAGTCTTAATTACTCTTCTCCCAGTTTTTCCCTTCTCAGTAAACTACCATTTATCCAACTGCTCAGGTCAAAAGTCCTAGGCAATTATCTTTGATGTCACTCTTTCCCTTATTCCCCCAATGCAATCAGTTAGAAAATTCAATAAACCCTAAAACTTGTCCCAAATGTATCCACTACTCTCCAATAATTACTACTATCCTAGTCTAAGCTATTGTGTCCTACCTAGACTCTTGCCTCTCCCTACAATATATTCTCCATACAGCAGCCCAGGATATTTAAAAAATACAAAGGAGACTATGTCACCACCTTCCTGCCTAAGCCTTCAATGGCTCTTCCCACTGAACTTAAAATCCAAACTCCTTACCCTGATTTAATAAAGGCCTGTGTGGTCTGATTCTTGCTTTTGTCTCAGATTTCCTCTCCTGATAGTCTCCTGCTATGGTGCAGCCACACTGGACTTCTTCACAGTCCTTGAACATTTTCCCAATGACCATGGGTAGCTCCTCCCTTTAGGTCTCAGCTTAATATTCATTTGTTCAGAGAGGTCTTTTCTGATGACCCAATCTACAGTATCAACTCATCAGACCAAACTAGTTTAATTCTCTGCACAGCACTTGCTATCTAATAATATTTTGAGGGCAAAATTGTTGGCTTTTTACTACAATCTCCCTACCAATTTACAAATCTGTAATATGTGTTGTTATTGTTATATCAGCAACAATATTCATTCAAAATATTTTTGAGGATTGTTACTATTGTTAACAACAATAAAAACATACATTATAGATGAGTAAACTGCCGTTTAGCAAAGCTAAGTTGCCCAAAGTCACACAAGTAGGTTGTCTCAAATGCCTGACCTCCCACCTCAGCCTCCCCAGTAGATGGGATTACAGGCTGGAGCCACCAAGCCCAGCACTGGTAATCTGTGATAGTGCTATGATTCAAACCCAAGCCTTTTGACCCTGAAGCCTGACCTCTGAAATGCTGTCCCCAATCTACTCAAATCTTGACTTCCCATAAACACCCAGCTCAGGTCATAAAGCCTTCCCTAACTATTTCATCTAAAATGAAACAGCTCTCACTTTGGATGTTGTAGGGAAAAAAAAAAGAAAGAAAATAGCACCAATGATATGTTTTCACATATTCTATTGATTACCTCTACTGTCATAGCATTAGCTATTATTTCACATTATCTGATTATAACTTAAGTGATCAGCAACTCAGGTTGCCCCTTCAGTAAAAGCCACTTAGAGACTATTCTATTGTATAGATTAGTGATTAAATTTTTAGTTTAATATTACCTAAAAAAAAAAGTAGCTATTTCAGAGGCTAAAGAAGTATGAACTGGCTTATTACCACCATTTCCCCACAGACTTTTAAGTTACTCCAACTGTGCCTTTAATTGGGCTATATATCCTCAGAAGTCACTAAATGTCTGACATTTCTATGTTCTTCTAGTTGCTATTAATTCATTCTTTTCAGTTGTGACCATCTCTGTTCTCCCCTAACCCTGTGACTGCTTCTCAGTTTCTATTCCTTTATCTAACGCAGCTGCATCTCACTGGTGATATTTCAGTTTAGAGCAGGGATCAGCAAACTGTAGCTCACAGGGCAAATCCAATCTGCCATTTATTTTTATAAAGTTTTATTGGCATGCAGCCTCACTCATTTGTTTAGTATTATCTATGGCTGCTTTTGCACTATAACAGTAGGTATTGAATAGTTGCAACAGAGAACATGTGGCCCACAAAGCCTCAAATATTTACTATCTAGCCCTTTACATTTGTGAAACCATAGTTTAGAGGAAACACAACTGAAACCCAGAAGGGTGAAGTGACTTGTCCAAGATCCCATAACTGGTAAATGGCAGGGGGAGAACTATTACATTCATTTATATAGACTTTATAAATTCTGAAAGTCATGGAACCTTACAGCAGTTTCTCTCTACATCTCCGTAGGCTTCTTTGAGACTTTAGTAGTCTGCAGTACTCGATGGTACTGTAGTCTCTGGTAATCTGCAAGTGAGTCCTCAAGACACTGGATATTTTGTTGGAGGAGACAAGGCCAAGAACATTGACTTTAAGAGCCTCCCAACTAATACTATACAGAATCTGACTATGGAAGAATCCAACTTAATTACCTAAAAGGACCAGATAACAGAAGTGAGTAAATCAGTCTAAAATATAACATAATATAACAGAGAGTGAAAAAGCCTTGGCCAAAAACTCAATACTGTAAAACCAAACAAACATAGCTGCAGACAAGAGCAGGATTTGGCATCAAGCAACCAATTTCTATCCCTGGCCTATGTTATCAATTTCTGTAAATCTTAAAAAGCCAAAAGGGAGGCTGGGCACAGTGGCTCATGCCTGTAATCCCAGCACTTTGGGAGGCTGAGGCGGGCACATCACCTAAAGCCAGGAGTTCAAGACCAGCCTGGCCAACATGGTGACACACTTGTCTCTACTAAAAATACAAAAATTAGCCAGGTATGGTTGGCAGATGCCTGTAATCCCAGCTACTAGGAAAGCTGAGGCAGGAGAATAGCTTGAACCCAGGAGGCAGAGGATGCAGTGGACTGAGATTGTGCCATTGCACTCCAGCCTGGGGGACAGGAACGAGACTTTGTCTCAAAACACAAACCAAAAGGTAAACTTCTAGTCTTCAAATAACACATTTTAAAAAGAAAAAAACAAAAACTGATTTGTTCTTTGATTAAAGTTTTAAGAATAAAGTATCAAATAAAACAAACCACTTGAATAAAACCTTCTTATCCCCAGGTAGCCTTACCTTCCACAACATACACCTTAGTCAAAGGAAAGTCAATACTCTTTGCCATTACTTCAATTTCTTCTTTAAGCTTTCCCTCAGGCAGAGGTGTGAATTTGTCAAATAAAGGGGCAATATAATCGGCATAGATTGTGACAAGAACCTGAAAAGTAAATGTCAGAACAACATATGAACATTCTTTTTTTTTTTTTGAGACGGAGTTTCGCTCTTGTTACCCAGGCTGGAGTGCAATGGCGCGATCTCGGCTCACCGCAACCTCCACCTCCTGGGTTCAGGCAATTCTCCTGCCTCAGCCTCCTGAGTAGCTGGGATTACAGGTATATGCCACCGTGCCCAACTAATTTTTTGCATTTTTAGTAGAGATGGGGTTTCACCATGTTGACCAGGATGGTCTCGATCTGTTAACCTCGTGATCCACCCGCCTCGGCCTCCCAAAGTGCTGGGATTACAGGCTTGAGCCACCGCGCCCGGCCCATATGAACATTCTTAAAGAAAAACTATTTTTTATTATACAGATTAAATTATATTAAAACAATTATGTTAACCTCAAACTTAAGAACAAGGAACTCACTTGCTCTGGTATTCCCAGGCCCAAACAGTACCAGATAGTAAGAGCACAGTATCTGTCTAATGAATTAAATTGAAATGAGTAGTCTGAAAAAAGAGTAAACCTATGACTTTTGTTTTAGAGGATAATGCTACTAACAGTGATTAAGATTTTTAGGTGGTAATACACAGTGCTTTTAGAACTGCCTTGGGTATTTCTGATGCTTCATGAGCCAATCATAACACGCAGTTCTGCCTTTTAGCATAACCACAATAGACCTGAAGTCTTTCCTAAAAAAGATTTAGTAGAACTTGACTGTGTGCTGTTACTTGGTTGGCTTGTCAGCTTAATTACCTGTAGTTCATAATTGTACACTGTCATTGAAATAGCACTTCCTTAAGCGTTTTTAGAGCATTTCCTCTGCTCTTTTTCCTTTTCCTTTAATTTGCCATACAGTAGATACCTGTAAATCCAACTAGCACCCATTTTCTAATCTTGATCCCATCAGTGGAAAATGAAACAATGAGCATTATGTAATTCAGATTAAAATAAACCTCAGGTTGGGCGTGGTGTCACACACCTATAGTCCCAGCTACTCAGGAAGCTGAGGCAGATAGACTGCTTGAGCCCAGGAGTTTAAGGCTGCAGCACACTATGATCATGCCTATGAAATAGCTACTGTACTATTTCCCAGGCATGTTTCATAGCCTGGGAAACATAGGGAGGCTCTATCTCTAAAAAAATAAAATAAAATAAATATCATCAGTGGAGTTGAAGAGCTGATAGATAATTTCTGGGGCATTGAACAGACCATTTTGGTTTTTTTCATTTGGGATTTTAAAAAATTATTATTTAAAGGGCCAGGCGCAGTGGCTCACACCTGTAATCCCAGCACTTTGGGAGGCTGAGGCAGGCGGATCACGAAGTCAGAAGATTGAGACCATCCTGGCTAACATGGTGAAACCTCATCTCCATTAAAAATAAAAAAAAAATTAGCAGGGCATGGTGACACGAGCCTGTAGTCCCAGCTACTCAGGAGGCTGAGGCAGGATAATCACTTGAACCCAGGAGGGGGAGGTTGCAATGAGCCAAGATCGAGCCACCGCACTCCAGCCTGGAGACAGAGTGAGACTCCGTCATACACAAAACAATTATTATTATTTGTAGTGAGAGATTCTCACTAGTTACCCAGGCTGGTCTTAAACTCTTGGGCTTAAGCAATCTTCCCACCTCAGCTTCCCAAAGTGCCAGGATTATAGGCATAATTTAATTTTAGCTGACAAGCCAACTAAGAAACAGCACACAGTCAAGTTCTACTAATTCTTTTTTAGGAAAGACTTCATGTCTATTGTGATTACACTAAAAGGCAGAACTGTGTGCTATGATTGGCTCATGAAGCAACAGAAATCCCCAAGACAGTTCTAAAAGGACTATGTATTACCACCTAGAGATCTTAATCACTGTGCCTGGCCCTGAACAGACCATTCTGACTGTACTGTAGTGTTTGTGTTGTGAAGCACTTTAGAACACGGGAAAGAGAAGAGGAATAGAAGATGTGAGGAATGGAAAATCATGGAGGAAAAAGTGAGAGGGAAAAGGAAAGGAGAAGGAAGAGAGAGAGGAATAGGTGGCAGCTGGGGAGACGGAGACACGGGAGTAGGAAAGGAAGAAGAATGGGTAAAGATAGACCAGGAAGGGGACGTACTCGGGGCAGAGAAGGGAGAGAGTGTTAAGGGGGAAGGGAAAGGCAGCAGAAGGGAAGCAGAAGAAAGCCAGTTAAGTGTTTGCTTTCTTTCTCTTGTCCCTCTTAAATTTCATTTCTCTTCAAAATAGCCATGAATTTTAGACAGTGGAGGTCAGTCAACAGTTGTTAAATTATCACACTTAGTCATTTTGGTGTCAACTCACAAACGCACAACCCAAAATTGCCTGACAACTGAATCATTAAAAGTGACTAACAACTAGTTTCTATGACCTGTAAGAGTTAGCATAAGGAGAAGAAAATTTATGGTCAGCCAACACTCCTGTTTCTATAATCAAAAGCAGAAACCATGGGGGAAATGTATATGAGCACCTATTTATATTTCAGCTGCTTCTTAAGAACTGTTTACATGCCAATGAAGATTAAATTATAGTAATCTCACCAAGGAACTTTTTAAAAAAGAAAATGAAATAAAGACTTTACTCACCAGAGACACAACTAATGTGAACAGCCATGCATAAATAAAAAAGTAGTCACCCCCAATTTTAATAATGTAAAGTAGAAGTGAAGACACAGGCAACAAAATACACTGAGTCACAACAAATTTCTTGATTGCATCTTTCATGAAGAACCCCAAAGTCTGCAAAAAGAAAATATTACCACAAGAAACTGAGAAACTGGTTTTGCTTTTAAAATAATAGATAAGTAAATACAAAGCATACATCATTTTTTATTTTTTATTTTTAGACAGAGTCTTGCTCTGTGGCCAGGCTGGAGTGCAGTACCATCTCAGCTCACTGCAATCTCCACCTCCCGAGTTCAAGTGATTCTCCCACCTCAGCCTCCTGAGTAGCTGGGACTACAGGTACACACTACCACACCCAGCTAATTTTTGTTTTATTAGTAGAGATGGGGTTTTGCTGGGATGGTCTCAATCTCCTGACCTCAAGTGATCTGCCCACCTCAGCCTACCAAAGTGCTGGGATTACAGATGTCTCAAAAAAAAAGGCAATGACAAATGTATTGCATTTTACAGTATAAAATTCATTTAAACATTATTAGCCGAGGATGAGTGCAGCAGCTCACAACTGTAATCCCAGCACTTTGGGAGGCCTAGATGGGAGGATTGCTTCAGCCCAGTAGTTCCAGACCAGCCTGGGCAAATAGTGAGACCCTGGCACTACTAAAAAAAAAAAAAATTAACACAGTATAGGATAATGCATCTATAGTCCCAGATACTAGGGAGGCTGAGGCAGGAAGATCGCTTGAGTCTGGAAGGTTGTGGTTACAGTGAGCCACGATCCTACCATTGCACTCCAGACTCAGTGAAAGAACGAGACCCTGTCGCAAAAAAACAAATGATGATTAGTGGCTGAAAAACAATAGACATTAGTGCTAAAAGAGTTTATAACATTAATTTCTCTCTCTCTCTTTTTTTTTAGAGGCAGGGTCTAGTTCTGTTGCCCAGGTTGGAGTACAGTGGCACAATGATGGCTCACTGTAGCCTCAACCTCCTGGGCTCAAGCAATTCTCCTGCTTCTTCCTTCCAAGTAGCTGGGACTACAGGTGCACACCACAACTGGCTAACTTTGAGAACAGTTTCATAGAGATGAAGTCTCACTATATTGCCCAAGCTGGTCTTGAACTCCTGAGCTCAAGTGATCCTGCCTTAGCCTCCCAAAGTGTTGGGATTACAGGTGTGAGCCACTGTACCCAGTCAAGACTTTCAACTATGATCTTTACCATATCTGTAGTTCTTTTTGTCAATTCATACTCTGAAATAGTAAATTATGTTTAAATTATTAACAATACAGGATAAAAGCACAGAAGTTTTTCATATTTAAAAGAGAACATTTGTATCCTTTATTATACCTGTTGATTGAAACCATGTTTTTCTTCTATCACAAAAGTATTGTAAAGACTCCAGGGCAAACCAGTCAATGCACTGAAAAGTGTAGCCAACAGCAGAAACACCAGGGACTGAGTGATCTAAGCAAAAAAAAAAAAAATCCAGTTTTTATGAACTACTAGCAAACAAATCAACAGGTATTTGCTGAGCACTTACTTACTATATCCCAAGTTATAGTATTATAGTAACCGTACTAAGTTATAACTATACCAAGTTATATTAATATAGTAATTATGGGATATAGTAAGTTACTATGTGGGATATATATAGTAAACTTACTATATCCCACAGTTACTATATTACTCACTATGCTTGAGTCTATGCATAAAACAAGGTCTGAAACATCATCACTGCCTTCAAAAAAGGTTACTTTTGAGAGAAGTAAAAGAGAAACAAAACAATTCCTTTTTTATTACACAGGCACTATATGAAAGGTACCTTAAATCATATAGACAAATCCCTAAGACAGAAAGAGCCCAGATTCTTCACCTGATAATTAAAAATATTCACACTGGACTATACGTGATTGAGAAATAAACCATTGCAAATAAGCTCCTGAATTTCTGGGATTTGTTATAGTAACTAGTGTTATGCCAATACAGCATGGGCAACCAAGGACTATGCAGACAGAGAAACAAATCTAACAACGGCAGAAGCCAAAAAATTAACTTTAGTATAAAGCCTGCCAAGCCAAAAGAAATACCATAACAAGTATTTGCTAATAAATCATATACCTCATATTCTGGTCCAAAGCCAGCATAACCGCAGAACCGTCCAGAAAGTCTCCAGAGATAAGGTATTCCTCCAAAGAGAAGAATAAGCTATAAAACAAAGCATATTTTGATCACATTTGAACATTATTAGAAACTATCATATGAGAGAGCACGGTATTAAAAAAAGAAAGGACAAAATAATCATCCTTCTATTAAAACAACAAAAAAAAGAGGCCAGTATGGTGGCTCATGCCTATAATCTTAGCAGTTTGGGAGACTGAGGCAGGAGGATCATCTGAGGCTAGGAATTCAAGACCAGCCCAGCTACTTGAGGGGTTGAGGTGAGAGGATTGCCTGAGCCCAGGAGGTCAAGCTGCAGTGAGCCGTGATTGTGCCACTGCACTCCAGTAAGGGAATAAAGCGAGACCCTGTCTCAAATAAAATAAGATAACAAAATAAAATAATTTTTTGAAAAATAGACCTATTTCACATTTAGCATAAATTACGCATTTAGATGAGTACAAACCATTGAGATACTAAATTTAGGCGGTTAAAATAACACTATATATGGATGAATTGTATGGTATGTGAATTGTGTGGTAGATAAATTACCTCAATAAAGCTGTTCTAAAACAAAAAAAAACAAACACTTTTGTCAAGAGTCCACAACAAAATCAGAAACTAAACTTAGAAAGGTTAAACAGGGTCGGGCGTGGTGGCTCACACCTGTAATCCCAGCACTTTAGGAGGCCAAGGTGGGCTAATCACAAGGTCAGGAGTTCAAGACCAGCCTGGCCACTATGGTGAAACCCTGTCTCTACTAAAAACACAAAAATTAGCCAGGTGAGGTGGCGTGTGCCTGTAGTACCAGCTACTCGGGAGGCTAAAGCAGGAGAATCACTTGAAACTGGAAGGCGGAGGTTGCAGTGAGCCGAGATCATACCACTGCACTCCACCCTGGATAACAGAGTGAGACTCCATCTAAAAAAAAAAAAGAAAAGTGAAAGAGCCAGTGTGGCAGCATATGCTTGTAATCTCAGCACTTAGGGAGGCCAAGGCAGGCAGATTGCCTGTGCTCAGGAATTTGAGACCAGCCCGGACACAAGGTGAAACCCTGTCTCTATAAGAAATACAAAAATTAGTTGGTTATAGTGGCACAATCCTGTGGTCCCAGCAACTCTGAGGAGCTGAGGCAGGAGGATCACTTGAGCCTGGGAGGTTGAAGCTGCAGTGAGCCATGATCATACCTGCACTCCAGCCTGGGTGACAGAATGAGCCACTGTTTCAAAAAAAAAAAAAAAACTTGTTAAAAATCCAACAGCTAATGAGTGATAGAAGAGGAATTTGAACCACATTAATATGGCTCCGTAATTGTCTTTTCTGTGAAATGAAACAGTCCTCTTCTATCAGGACAAATCATAGAAGTAGCGAGTCATGTCCATTTACTAAGTTAGGGAACAGAATGGGATTATTTGTGTCTTTGCTGGGTCAGGAAAAGGTGAGGTAGGGGACCAGGGTTTCACAGGAGTGGGCTCTTCCTTAGCACCACCCTCTGTCTTGGTCTTGGGCAGATAGAGTGAACACAGACATTTGCCAAATAACCAGGACATGAGGAACTAGGAAGTGGCTCAAAATTTGAAAAGAATGCATACTTATGAAATTCTACTGCCCAAAACAGATACAAGTTTGTGGAATTCATTTTGTCAAGCGGAATCAATTTATTTTTTCTCTCTATAGGATATGAGCTTAGGAACACAATGATCACATTCCTTGACTTGAAGCACAATATTCCCATTGGTTCAGACATAGTTTGAAGCACAATATTCCCATTGGTTCAAACCCCTCAGGGTTTGAGAGGTTAGGTACTATAATATTTCATGTGTATCTTCCCAATCTAATTCCCATTTTCATATATGTATCTACAAATAATATAGGGATTTATGTATGTATGCTTTTAAAGAATGTATATAAATGACTTCATATTGTATCAGTCTGCAATTTGCTTTTTTTTGTTGTTGTTGAGACAGTCTCACTCTGTCACCCAGGCTGGAGTAAAGTGATTCGATCTCAGCTCACCGCAACCTCTGCCTCCCAGGTTCAAAAGATTCTCCTGCCTCAGCCTCCTGAGTAGCTGGGACCATAGGCACCCACCACCACACCTGGCCAATTTTGTATTTCTAAGTAGAAACAGTGTTTCACCATGTTGACTAGGATGGTCTTGATCTCCTGACCTTGTGATCCACCCGCCTTGGACTCCCAAAGTGCTGGGTGAGCCATCATTTTTTTTCTTTGTGATACAGTCTCACTCTGTTGCCCAGGATGGACTGCAGTGACGCAATCTCAGCTCACTGCAACCTCCACCTCCCAGATTGAAGCGATTCTTCTGACTCAGCCTCCTAAGTAACTGGGAATACAGGTGAGTGCTATCATGCCCAGCTAATTTTATTTTGTTGTTATATTTTTAGTAGAGATGGGGTTTCGTCATGTTGGCCAGGCTGGTCTCGAACTCCTGACCTCAGGCGATCCACCTGCCTTGGCCTCCCAAATTGCTGGGATAACAGGCATGAGCCACCGTGCCCGGCCTGTTATTTATACTCTACATTTTCTTAGATCCATTCATGGTAGACTTCATTTGGTATTATCAGCATATTTCCTAAAGTGTTTATAACAAACTATACCCCAATCAGCAGTACTCTAGTGTTTCTGTTTTCCCACAATCTCACCCACACTTTATACTATCCAACTTTTAGACTGTTACCAGTATATTGGATTGGTTTAATATCATGAGTGTCAAATATGGTCTCGGGTCAGCAACAACAGCATCTGGGAATTTCTTAGAAATGCAAAGTCTCAGGCCCTATCCCAGATGTACCAAATCAGAAGCTGGAAGTGGGGCCCAGCAGTTTCTAGGTTGATGTATGCTAAAGTTTGAAAATCATTGCTTTAATAATTTTTTTTTTTTTAAGAGAAGGAGTCTCATTCTATCACCCAGGATGAAGTGCAGTGGAATGACCATAGCTCACTGTATTTTTGAACTCCTGGGTTCAAAGGATCTTCATACATCAGCCTCCCAAGGAGCTAAGATGACAGCAGGTGTGCACCACCATACTTGGCTAATTTAAATTTTTTGTACAGATGGGGTCTCTGGTCTCAAACAATTCTCTCACTGTGGCCTCCCAAAGGGCTGCATTCGGCCCCAGTAAATTGCTTTTCAAAAGGCTCCCCTAACATTACCTCTAAGAGCTGTTTCCACTTTTCTACAACTAACTCAGACATAAACCTTGTTTTCCCAAAAGACATGCTTTGGTACCACTGTCTGACATATGCTCCAGTTGTTGATCTAATTGACCTGGGATGGTATTTCTTTTTGTTTTTTGAGACAGAGTCTCACACTGTCGCCTGGGCTGGAGTGCAGTGGCATGATCTCGGCTCACTGCAACCTCCACCTCCCAGGTTTAAGTGATTCTCCTGCCTTGGCCTCCCAAGCAGCTGGGATAACAGGCACCCGCCACCACTCCCAGCTAATTTTTTGTATTTTTAGTAGAGACAAGGTTTCACTACGTTGGCCAAGCTAGTCTTGAATGCCTGACCTCATAATCCAACCGTCTTGGCCTCCCAAAGTGCTGAGATTATAGGCATATAAGCCACCATGTCCAGCCAGGATGGTATTTCAGCCGAATCCTAACACTAATAAATAATGTAGAATTAAGGATTTATAATACTTTTAGCGAAAGGTCAGAACAATTATTATTAAAAGTCCAGTGTTTAAATAAGCGTCAAGGGTAGTTTTAATATGAATTTTAAATAATCTATACATGTATTTGAAAATTGATACTTCAAACAGTGTTTAGTTTCTTTTGGGGACCAAAAAACAAAGCATGGTGAACTATACAATTTCTCCATGTTGACAATTTCACCAAGCATGCTCCCAGGGTTGTTCTATGGCAAAATTATTAATCCCAGAAAAAATAATTCTAGTGCTTTGACATACATTATTTCACGACATTCTTTTTTTTTTTTTTTTTTTTTTTTTGAGACAGGATCTCACTCTGCCACCAGGCTGGGGTGCAGTGGTGCCATCACAGCTCACTGCAGCCTTGATCTCCTCAGCTCAAGCAACCCTCCCACCTCAGTGTCTCAAGCAGCTGGGACTGCAGATGTGCATCACCACACTTGGCTAATTTTCTAAAAACTTTTTTCCAGAGATGGGGTATCACTATGTTTGCCAGGCTGGTCTCAAACTCCTGGGCTTAAGTGATCCTCCCACCTGAGCTTCTCAAAGTGCTGTGATTACAGGCTTGAGTCACTGTGCCTGGCTTCACTACTACAGTCTTGAAAAACAGGAAGGGCAAAGGGTATAATCATTTCTATTTAATAAACGAGGCAACTGAAACTCTAACTGAGAGGTCACTCTGAGAGGTTAAAGTAACTTGGCCGAAGAAACCCAATGACTAAGTATTTCCTATGTATTGAGCTTCATTTACATTACCTCACTCAGTCCCTGCCACAAACCATACAAGGTATGACTTAATATGCATCCCCTTCTCATTTTATTTTTATTTATTTTTGAGATGGAGTCTCACTCTGTCATCCAGGCTGGAGTGCAGTGATGCAATGTCAGCTCACTGAAGCTTCCGCTGCCTGGATTCAAGTGATTCTCGTGTCTCAGCCTCCTGAGTAGCTGGGATTACAGGCTTGTGCCAACACACACGGCTAATTTTTGTATTTTTAGTAGAGATGGGGTTTCAACATGTTGGTCAGGCTGGTCTCAAACTCCTGACCTCAGGTGATCTGCCCACCTGGCCTATCAAAAGTGCTGGGAATACAGGTGTGAGCCACTGCGCCTGGTCCACGTCTCATTTTAAAGATGAGAAAACTTAGGCTCAAGAAGGTGAAAATGCTCACATAGAAACATGCAAAAATTAGAGACGCAACAATTTAAACTTTTCAACTCTGCCCTACTCTGCTCCCCAGCCATTCCATTTCTTCAGTGGGCCCTTCACAAACAACTGTGAGATATTAGAGAAAGTGTCTCAGATAGGATGGACATTTTCTGTCCGGGTGTACTGTCATATTTGTGTGAACAGTGGCAATCATATCTGGACACACAAGGACCCTGTTTAGGTTCCCTCAGATAGAAAATACCACGGCAACAACAACAACAACAACAAAAAGTCAATGCTTACCTTTTCACTTGATATCTGTGACCAAAACATACAAACCTATTCATTTTAATCAACACAAAACAGAAATTAATGAACTTGTTTCCAAACAAAACAAGTTTTCAAAGTTACCCAAAATGTTTTTCGTGCAAAGGGTAAATGCAGCCACAAAATCCCAGAGATAAATTTAGCACGTTCATGTTGCAGGCTTTAGAATTTTAAGAATGGTTTTTACAATGTGATTTTAAAGACTCAGAAGAATAGAGTTTGAAACCCAGCTGTCTCACATATTAGCATGTCCCTTGGCCATTAAACATGGAAGCCCTTTAATTTATCCAAGCCTTTGCTTCCTCCTCCATAAAAAGGCAATAATAATGCCTATCCTTTCTACTTCATTGTTGTAAACATCAAACAATAAATATAAGAACTATGTATGAAGTGAAAATCATGACTATTAACTATTACCGTTCCCAACCTTAGCCCATCAGTACTGCTTCCAGTTTGAGCCACAGTACATTACAAAACTCTCACTTTATATACGTATTCTCCCCATTTCTGTCATCTCCTAGAACCAACAGCCATGTCTATGATCACCAACTATAATTACCCAGCTATTGACTATCGTTCCTAGCACTATTTTCCAGGGACAACCAAGGAGACTGAAAATGCTTTTCCCATCATTTTACTATGGCCCTGTAGGAGGAAAGTCAAAGAACTTCCAAGAAACAAACATCAGAAAAAGCACAGAGTCTACCTCATCTATTTGCCTTGTCATTATTAAACCGAGAATTCAGACCTTTGAGAGATGAAGAAAATATGGGAGCTATTAATCAGTATAGAACAAGAACTCTGAGTATTACTTCTTTAGGCAGTGTTGTAAGCTGTTCAACAATTCCCCAGGGCCGGGTTGGGGCTGGGAAAAGTGGCTCACTTCTGTAATCCCAACACTATGGAGGTCAAGATGGGTGGATCACAACGTCAAGATATCGAGACCATCCTGGCCAACATGGTGAAACCTCATCTCTACCTATAATACCAGTTACTTGGAAGGCTGAGGCAGGAGAACTGCTTGAACCTAGGAGGCAGAGGTTGCAGTGAGCTGAGATGGTGCCACTGCACTCCAACCTGGTGACAGAATGAGATTCCATCTCAAAAAGAAAAAAATTCCTCTGGAACTGGTGAAACAGAAGGTGAAATGTCAGTTGCAAAACTCAGCTATCAGACATTGATTACAGAAAGGAGAACCAAATATATTAACCAAGCAATGGGGGGAAAACATGCAAAATATTAAATCAAGTTTGGAAGCAGCTAGCTCTTGGGGAGAATATATTTAAGATCTTGGATATGCTTAATGTATTTTTTTTAAAGTTACTATAATTCTTTTTTGAGCTCCCATTATTTTTGGACCAAGGCCCTCATATAAATAGATAAGTAAACTCTCTTGCATCTATTAAAAAAAATAGTGTCTAAATTAACCACCTCTACTTCCACCTGTCTCTGAAGGATGATTCTGTACTTGTGACCTGTCTCTAACAGAAGAAATGCTCAGATAAATTAACTAAAGTCAAGTCAATATTGAAAAGATTACTTAATAGCAATAGCTGTGTATCCTCAAAGCCAATGAGATTTTGTTTTCCAAATCATTTATTAATTTTTCTAAATACCAAAATTTAACTCTTCTAGAAGCATTGCCATTTTCCATCACCTTGAAGAAATAAGCTCAGTTTCTAATAATTTGGATCTAACCACATTAGTCTTACTATTCCATACTTGTCAAGAAAAATTTTGTGATGAGCTAGACAATTCTGCCATAATTTAACACAGCTACATAAAGCCAGTTTCTTTAACTCATGAAACAATAATGGTAGCTGATCATATTTCTTTTAAATTTAGGAATCTTTCTCTTAGTGGTACTCGTGGATCTAAAAGTTCTAGAGAAATGATGATGATTATGATGATCAGGATGATAAAAATAATAATAGTGGCAGGGCACAGTGGCTCATGACTATAATCCCAGCATTTTGGGAGGTCAAGGCAAGAGGATTGTTTGAGCCCAGGAGTTTGAGACCAGCCTGGGGAACACAGGGAGACCTTGTTTCTACATTTTCAAAAAGGGGGCCAGAAGAGGTGGCTCATGCCTATAATCCCAGCACCTTGGGAGGCTGAAGCAAGAGGACTGCTTGAGCCCAGGACTCTGACACAAACCTTGTCTCTATTAAAAAAAAAAAAAAAAAAAATTAGCTGGGTGTTGATGATGTATGCCTGTGGTCCCAGCTAATTGGGAGGCTGAGTTAGGAGGATTGTTTGAGCCCAGGAGATCAAGGCTACAGTGAGCTGTGACTTTGCCACTGCACTCCAGTCTAGGCAACGGAGAGAGATCCTGTCTCAGGGCAAAAAAAGAAAAAGAAAAAATTAGCCAGGCATGATGGCATGTACCTGTGGTCTCAGCTACTTAGGAAGCTGAGGTGGATCACCCAAGCCTGGGAGGGCCAGGCTGCAGTGAGTCATGATGGCATGATGGCAATAGCATACTCCAGCCTGGGTGAAAGAGCAAGAGACTATCTCAAAATAATAATAATAATAATGACCAACACTTACAAAATACTTACAGTGGACCATGCACTGTTATAAGCATCTTCTATATATTAAGTCATTTAATCCTCTCAAAACTACTATGAATAAGAAACCATTATTACCACAACACTTTTACAGATAAGAAAACAGGGCTGGGCACAGTGGCTCACGCCTATAATCCCAGCACTTTGGGAGACCGAGGCGGGTGGATCATGAGGTCAAGAGATCAAGACCATCCCGGTCAACATGGTGAAAACCCGTCTCTACTAAAAATACAAAAATTAGCTGGACATGGTGGTGCACGCCTGTAGTCCCAGCTACTCGGGAGGCTGAGGCAGGAGAATTGCTTGAACCCAGAAGGTGGAGGTTGCGGTGAGCCGAGATCGTGCCATTGCACTCCAGTCTGGGTAACAACAGTGAAACTGTCTCAAAAAAAAAAAGAAAACAGGCACAGAAATGCTGAGTGAGTTGCTTGAGGTCATACAACTGGCGTGGTAGAGCTGAGATTTAAACTCAAGCTGCCTGAGCTCAGAGGCTGCTCTTAACCTCTATATTATGTACTTTCAATTTTTCTAAGGGGTGGGAAAAAAATCTTTTTTTATGTATAAAGCACAGATATACATACAGTACTGAAACAAATACACAACATATCTATGGTATTAAAATTTCATGGAAGGGGCAATTAGGAAAAAAATATCCAAAATGGCTGCAGGCGGACAGGAAGGAGACCACCAGAGAAAGAGAAAATTGCTCTATAATATACAGCCTCTCTTCTTTTAATATGAGGGTAAGACTGGCCCTTTGTTTTGCTAAGTAAAATGTCCTGTCATTATTTCATGCAATAAATAGGAACTATGTGCTTATTACATGCCAGGCACTAGGTATAAAATGATGAACAAGACTTTAAAGTACTATTTTTTGTTTGTTTGTTTGTTTTTGTTTTTGAGATGGAGTTTAGCTCTGTCGCCCAGGCTGGAATGCAGTGGCACAATTTTGGCTCACTGCAATCTCCGCCTCTTAGGGTCGAGCAATTCTCTGCCTCAGTCAGTCTCCTGAGTAGCTGGGATTACAGGCGCCCACCACCAAGCCCCGCTAAGTTTTGTATTTTTAGTAGAGACAGGTTTTCACCATCTTGGCCAGCTGGTCTTGAACTTCTGACCTTATTATTCACCCATCTCAGCCACCCAAAGTGCTGGGATTACAGACATGAGTCACCATGCCTGGCAAAGTACTATTTCTTTAAGGAACTACCAGTTTGCCAATTAAACAGTCAAATTAGACCAGGCACAATGGCTCATGCCTGTAATCCCAGCACTTTGAGAGGCTGAGGTAAGCAGATCACTTGAGCTCAGGAGTTTGAGACCAGCCCAAGCAACATGAGGAGACCCTGACTCTATAAAAAATACAAAAATGAGCCCGGTATGGTGGCATGCAACTGTAGTCCCAGCTTGTAGGGAGGCTGAGGTGGGAGGATCATTTGAGCCTGGGAAGCAGAGGTGCAATGAGCCAAGTTCACACTACTGTACTTCAGCCTGGGTGATTGTGCCAGAAAAAAAAGAAAAACCACAGGCAAATTCAACACAATATGATAAGTACTCTAACAGGAATAATGATAGGATGTTACCCTACCCACATTTGTTAGGCAGGCAAGTTTCAAATAGTTGCTTGGAAGACATAACATCTCAGCTGCACCCTAATGGAAGAAGAACTTTCTCCTACTTGACCTCAGGGTAATGGTTCCCATATTCCATAGTTTCCAACTGATTAAGCAGTTATGTTTCTGTCTTTTTTGCTCCACGGCAATTACTATCAATAACAAAGGTTAAGAAAACATTCTAGGACTTGCAAGTGTGGTGCCCTCTTTTGTGCTACAAAAACGTGAAAATGAAAGCAACCATTACAAAGTATTAAACAATTTGACAGACTGTCTCTCCAAAAAGTAAGTTACTCACAGTGCCTTCAATCTCTGAATAGAGTCCTGACCAGAAGCTGAAAGTGCTTTTATCCAGTTGATACAGTCGAGATTTCTCAAATGTTTCAGAATCCATGATCTGTCCTAACTCTGGTGGTACTTGAGTTGTTGTTTTATATATCCTTCTCTGAAATATTTTGAAGAAAACACTTTAGTGAAACGGTTGATTGTTTATTACAATAGTCATTTATGATCAAACACTGTATGGTTTATAGCTTGTCACTTATTCTTGTTGAATATGCTTTATACGTACACAAATATCACACTTTATCAAGTACATTGACCACTGAAATGACTGATACAGAAAAATAAAAGCAGAACAAGAGAACCTGAGGTTAGCTGACTAGTAAAACTAAAATCAGGGTTATCATCACACTTCAGTTTGTATATGTAAACCAAAGTTGTAACATCACAACTTTGTAACATGTACTACTCATTCTGGGTATTACATACCTCCTCTATTACATAATGGAGAAAACAAATTCATGGAAAGGAGAAGCACACATGCTAACCATGACTATGAACAAATATTGAGGCTGCTCATTAAATTTGGTCCTAAAAGCCAGAAACTTGAGGAGCACCACATAGAAACATATCAGGTATGTGAGAAAAGACCAACTTTTAGCCAGGTGCATTGGGTCACGCCTGTAATCCCAGCACTTTGTGAGCCCAGGAATTTGAGATCGGCCTGAGTAGTGTGGTAAAACACTGTCTCTACAAAAAATACAAAAATTAGCAGTGTGGTGGTGTGCACCTGTGGTCCCAGCTACTTGGGAGGCGGAGGTGAGAGGATCACCTGAACCTAGGAGGCAGAGGTTGCAGTGGGCCCAGATCGTGCCACAGCACTATACCCTGGATGACACTCTGTCTCTTAAAAAAAAAAAAGAAGAAAGACCAACTTTCACATTATACTAAATTCTAAAAGGTAAGGGTAATTGCAGCCCAGGAAATATAATACAGGGAATGAATACCAAACAAAATAACGGGCCACTACAATATGCTTTCCTTATATATTGTTTTGTGCCAATAAAAGCTGAGAACAGGTTGAGAACGGTGGCTCACGCCTGTAATCCCAGCACTTTGGGAGGTTGAGATAGGAGGATCGCTTGAGCCCAGGAACTCCAGACTAGTGCCGGCAACATCTCTACAAAAAAATCCAAAAATTAGCTGGGGACTGTGGCCCACGCCTGTGGTTCTAGCTACTCAGAAGGCTTAGGTGGGCTGGGTGCGGTGGCTCACACCTGTAATCTCAGCACTTTGGGAGGCCAAGGCAGGTGGATCACCTGAGGTCAGAAGTTCAAGACCAGCCTGGCCAACATGGTGAAACCCTGTCTCTACTAAAAACAGAAAAATTAGCCGGGTGTGGTGGCATACACCTGTAATCCCAGCTATTCAGGAGGCTGAGAATCACTTGAACCCAGGAGGTGGAAGTTGCAGTGAGCCGAGATCACACCCCCGCACAACAGCCTGGGCGACAGAGTAAGACTCCGTTTCAAAAAAAAAAAGGTTGAGGTGGAAAGGCTGCATGAGCCCGCAAGTTCAAGGCTGCTGTAAGCTATGATGGTGCTACTGTGCTCTAGCCTGGCTGGCAGAGTGAGCCCCTGTCTCTAAATAAAATAAAGATTCCATCTGGGCTAACATGGTGAAACCCCATCTCTACTAAAAATACAAAAATTAGCTGGGCGTAGTGGCACGTGCCTGTAATCCCAGCTACTAGGGATGCTGAACCAGGAAAATCACTTGAACCTGAGAGGCGGAGGTTACAGTGAGTCGATATTGCGCCACTGCACTTCAGCCTGGTGACAGACCGAGACTCTGTCTTAAATAAATAAAGATTAAAAATAAATAAATAAAAGTTCAGGTATCTAATCCATGGTTATCTCCAGTAAATTAAGTAACTTTCACTTTCTATTTTACCGTTTTAATATTTTAAACAAAAAAATGAAGATAATTTTATTAAAAATTATATATATATATATATATACTCATCTTTTCTTTTCCTTTTTTTTTTTTTGTGTGTGTAGATGGAGTTTCGCTCTTGTCACCCAGGCTGGAGTGCAGTGGTGCAATCTTGGCTCAAGAGATTCTCCTGCCTCAGCCTCCCAAATAGCTAGGACTACAGGCGTGCGCCACCACCCTGACTAATTTTTCTATTTTTAGTAGAGATAAAGTTTCACCATGTTGGCCAGGCTGGTCTCCAACTCCTGACCTCAGGTGATCCGCCCGCCTCGGCCTCTGAAAGTGCTGGGATTACAGGCATGGGCCACCCAAGCCTCCTGGCCTGGCCCGATAAATATATATATATATATTTTTTTTTCAACAGAAACAATATATGCACTTTAAGGAGAAACAACAGTGCAGGTTGTTGGAAGGATTGCAAAATCCTGCGGTTAGGCATGATTACATAAATGTCATGAGGAAGTTGGGTTTCTAAATTCTTTTGAAGGCTTATTCCAAAGATAAAGGAGGCCAAGTCTGGGCCCAAGGATCTCAAGGAAGATGTAGGGCGGGCACAAGAGCCCAAGCATTCCTCCAGGGCCTAACGGGATCGACTCCCATGATAACGTTACTGAAAACTTCCTGGACGCACCAAGAGCCCCCTCAAAGCCATAGCCCGCCATCAGGCCAAGTTACGAGACTGAGCAAGGACCACAGGGTCGAGACTGGCGCGGAAACTGGAACAATCATCAAGAGACTCAGGGTCGAAGCCAAGGTTGGCCTAGGGGTGGCCGGGTGTGGGGGTCAGGTGGGACCTTGTCTAGGCTCACCTGCCGCTGTGCTAGGAAGGTCTCCCAAACATACACTGTCCAGGAGAAGAGCAGCACGGCTCCGAAGATACGCTTCTCGGCTGGCATCTCCCACAAAGCGTCCAGCGATGCCCACATCCCCATGGCCACCCCGTTCCGCCGGCTCCTTCAGCGTGCACCGGTGCCACACCGACACTCGTCCCCTCAGAGCGTCCTCGCGGTGTTACAGCGATATCCGTTCTTTCCGAAGGCCCCTACACCGACACCCGCCCCCATCCCTCCCTCTCCGCGCTGCTAGCAGTGTCACAGATACACTCTTCCCCTTGCAGACTCTCCCTACTCCCTCCTAGTTTCTACTGGAAAAGCCCCAGCCCCACCTTCCTCACTTCCGGCTCAAAGAGGGCGGGGAGCCAGAGACTGACTTCCGGGTCCTGCTGAGCTGTGTTGCATCAACATTCGTCCCCAACGACGTGACGCTGGGTTCCGGCCTGGGGTTCTCGCTTTCCTCCAGGGCCGGTGAATGCGGTGAAGTCCTCCGCTTTCTCTACAGAGCCGCAGTTCCATCCCCTGGGTCGGCTGTTTACCCTGACTGGGCTGCGGTATCTGCCCTACTTCCCCCAACAAGGCGACATTTAGTCCGGGCTGGGGCCGGAACTCAGTGGGCCGCCGCTTCTGCCTGAGGTGGCTGGGACGGACCGGACAGCAGCCGGCTTCCCAGTCTCAAAGAATCAAGCCTCTGAACTAGAGCTACCTCAAAAGGGAGACTAGCCATTAGAAATGGAGTCTTTTGGCCAGTATTGGGGTGTTCTGAATTCAAGCGTATGAGAGAGTGGACGGTAGAGTTGAAAATTCTCATTTGAAGATCTCGTCTCAACCACCCCAAGTGTAGTCAAAGGCGGCGTTTTGCCTGCTAGAATGCCTGGAAACAGAGCAAGGACACCGTAGGTTAGACATACCTGAAATGAAAGTTTCTTACTTTGTCTAGGGTACAAATTTGCATCAGTAAGGCGCAGTGCCATTTCTCGCTTGGAATCAGAAGTGAAATATGGTCACTCGGACGCGCGTACATTTATTTGACTTAAAAAGTGAGGTCAGTTATTCTGACCGAAAGTAAATCTGATAATTAATTGGTTAAACATACTATCCTTGCTAATTAGCATAACTATTACTTACAATAAAGTGAGCTAAATCTGTAGCTACGACTAAAATATATTTAAGTTACTGTGATATTGTGATGCTAAAGATGTGTTGAAATTAATATCTTGAATTTCTCAACCTTGCCTAAATGCCTCTGAGAGTAATTAATATAATTAAAAGTCACTAGAGAAAGTGAATGATTCTAATAACAGGTTAACAAATTCTTTTCAAGTCAAATGATCTCCAGTTATTTGTTTTCAACAAAATTAATGGTAGCTCTATTGAATTGTCAGCCAAGGAAGGAACACTATTTGGTTTTTGGCATGCAACTCAGAAACCAAAGAATTGGTTGACATTCTTACAGCAAAACTACTAGCATTCCCACCTATTTGTTTATGTAAATTCATTTCTCAGCACTTGTATCTATGAAAAAACAATTAAAACTAAACCCTGTTAATCTAGCAGTAGGAACTGTTCATCCAGATAAATGAATTAATTGGTGGGACAGTCCCATCTGTCTCACTGAGATGTGTTCCCAATAGAATTTCACCTTTTATAATTGTATATTATCAATATTTGTAATTGTGTCATTTTGATCCACTATTTGCTAAAGATTATTGTGATGATTACTGACTTCAGAAGAATTACAGCATAGAGCCATAAAGTTACAGGAAATTTTTTAAAAGTTTAATACACACATTATATTTTTATTGCAAAAAGTGATCAATAAAAGGTTTTTTAAACATCAAAGTATTACATTTGAATAACATTTTGTGGTAAAGTACAACCTAAATATGTTAGAGATAATAAAATAACAATGTTGAAGAGCTCCTTAGGGTATGCTTTAATGGATAATGGTGGTTATTTAGTTGTTTTGTAGATTCTCTTGGATACATTATAGAAAGTGATTTAAGTTTTAAAAATTGTTTATACTGAAAAGTTGCAATGATTTAAGTTTTATCTTAAAATGTCAGTATTTACAGTTTGCCAGAATTTACATCCATTGCAACGATCTGAATTTATGATGAAAACTTTCAGATACCAAGTTAAATATATGAGGGGTAAACACTTTTTCAGAATTTTCTGTCCCTCAGGCCATCGTTGCTATGCCCTCTTCACTCTTGTCCTCAGCTGTCTGTGAGCCCAAGGCCTCACAGGAGCTTCTATCACCCAAGCTTTGTGGCTAAGGGCACAGGTTTAGAGTCAAACTACTTGAGTGCCAGTCACGGCTGTACCATGTATTAGCAAGTTATTTAACCTGTCTGTGCATCAGATCCTCATTAGTAAAATGAGAATACTATAGTATATACTTCTTTGTGTTGTTGAAATCAAATGAGAAAATTCATGTAAAGCTCCTAGCAATGTAGATGACTCTGAGTGAGTGCCCAATAAAGGTTAGGTACTGTTTGGGAGAAGGGCATCATAGCATTGATCTGTCACCATGTGTCTGAAAAGGTAGGAGAACAGGAGGCCAAGGTTTTAAAAAGCCAAGACTGACTGGTTTGACTGAATTCATTCATTCAATAAATACTGAATGTCTGCAAAATGCCAGGTGCATTTCCAGGTGCCAGGGATATAGCAGTGAACTAAAGCCCCTCTCCTGGAGCTTACATTCTTAGCTGGGTTGGATGGAGTGTTTGATAAATAATAAGCAAATATTTAATAGTAAAAATGGAGGTGATGATAAGTGCTATGAAGAAAAAGCAGGAAAAAGGCAATACAGCATGTTGGTGTGATGGGTGCTGCTTTACATAAGTTGGTCAAGGAAGCCTTTTCAGATTAACTGGCATTTGAGACCCCCACAATAGTAAGAGAAGAAGCCATGTGGATATCTGGGGAAACTGCCAATCAGAGTGAACAGCAAGTGCAAAGGCCCTGAGATTGGCTGTTGCTTATCACAACTGAAGAATGGTAAGAGGCTGTGGAAAGAGGAAGAGGGGGAGTACAAATCCATACCATCATGCAGTATTTTAGTTAAAAGACTTTCAGTTAGAATGAAAGAATAAGCTATTGCAGGATTTTGAGCAGAGAATTGCAGAGTTTTGAGCAGACAGTCCTTCTCACTACTATCTGGAGAATAAAAAAATTTTTTTTGAGATGGAATCTCATCTATTACCCAGTGGCACAATCTCGGCTTACTGCAACCTCTGTCACCCAGGTTCAAGCAATTCTCCTGTCTCAGCCTCCTGAGTAGCTGGTATTACAGACGCCTGCCACCATGCCTAATTTTTTTTTTTTTTTTTTTTTTGTATTTTTAGTAGAGACGGGGTTTCACCATCTTGGCCAGGCTGGTCTTGAACTTCTTACCTCATGATCCACCCGCCTCGGTCTCCCAAAGTGCTGGGATTACAGGCTGCTCCCAGCCGAGAATAAATTTAATGGGGAAATGGAAGGAAGGAGTGCAGTTGGGAGGCCATTTTAAGAACCCAGGTGATTTAGCAGTTCCCAAGGAAATCAGAAAAAAAGAAAAAAGAATCTGGGTGAGAGATGGTAGTGCAGACTAAGGTCGTGGCATTGGAGAACTAGTGAATTATGGAAAGTGAATAATCACTTGTTTACTCTTTTCAGAAAGACGGTGCTAGTAGAAAGGCTGGCCTGTGTAGAGTCTAAAAATGGGAACCTCAAAACAAGCTGTTGGCAGGGTTTTTGTTAAAGGAGGAAGACTGACATGGTGTGCTGACTCACACCTGTAATCTTGGTTCTTTGGGCCACCAAGGTGGGATAATTGCTTGAGTGCAGGAGTTTGAGAGCAGTGTAGGCAACACAGTGAGACCTCATCTCTGTAAAAATAAATAAAGGAAAAGGACTGAATTTGAAGGATAAAGATTATCCCTAGAGTGATAGACATTGCTGTAGGGGTAGTCCATCTACCCTATCTAACTTAAATGATACAGTTGCTCTCAAGCTCTTCCCATCTTGCCTTGATTCTCTGCTTACCAAGCATCCAAGGTCCCTTAATTGATACCCTGGCCATAGGTGCTTGGGCCTCGAGAAAAGAATGATCCCCCTTGGCTGGTCATGGTGGCTCATGCTTGTAATCATAGCACTTTGGGAGGCCAAGGTGGGTGGATCATTTGAGGTCAGGAGTTTGAAACCACCCTGGCCAACATGGTGAAACCCCATCTCTACTAAAAATACAAAAAAAATTAGCCAGGCATGGTGGCAGGTGCCTATAATCTCAGCTACTCCAGAGGCTGAGGCTGAGGCAGGAGAATCGCTTGAACCTGGGAGGCAGCGGTTGTAGTGAGTTGAAATCGCGCTACTGTACTCCATCTCAGAAAAAAAAAAAAAAAAAGATTCCCTACTAGGAATGAATACCTGGTACTTGGTATCAATCTCTTATGACTGTGGTGTGATTCACATATCCTCTCTGAGAAGCTGAGAGCCAGGAACAAGGTAACCACATCAGTTTCCATCACACTGTGCAACCTAACAGGAGCAGCTGTTATTTCCTTTTCATCTAGCTCATTCTACTTTCTAGGTTATATGTTCTGTCTCACATATTGGCTACTAATTCTATGTTACTCCCTGTTGAAAAAATACAACCCCTATAATGGTCTATTTCTGACAGTACAAAACCCAAGTATGGTACGAGCTTTGAGGCCCTCCATTACCTGACATCAGTCTACTCTTCAAAACCCTTCTTTTTTAAATTATTTTTATAAATAGAGACAGGATCTCGCTATGCTGGCCAGGCTGGTCTCAAACTCCTGGACTCAAGCAGTCCGTCCACCTCAGCCTCCCCAAAGGCTGATTACAGACAAAACCCTTTGAACATTTTCCTTTGATATACTCGAGAGGGGTAACCAAGACAATATTACTGAAATGAAATTTAGACAGCACAATAATTGAGATAATGACTTAAAAAATTGGCATGACACTCCATCAGCAGCACAATAACCTCTCACCTAAACTGTCAGATAATACACACTGTTAATTCCCATCTATTCTGTTTGCCACATCATGAATTAAAGCATATTTGAGTATGAGGTTAGTGTGTCTTGCACTAAAGTCAAAATCCTTAATTGTATCTTTGGAAATAACAAAGCCGCCCTGAAACTCTCCTTGTTGCCCAGGAAACCATCCTTTTCAAAATATACTTCCGGGCCAGGTGCGGTGGCTGTAATCCCAGCACATTGGGAGACCAAGGCGGGTGAATCACCTGAGGTTAGGAGTTCCAGACCAGCTGGGCCAACCTGGTGAAACCTCATCTCTATTAAAAATATAAAAAATTAGCTGGGCATGGTGGCAGGCGCCTATAATCCCAGTTACTCAGGAGGCTGAGACAGGAGAATCTCTTGAACCTGGGAGGCAGAGGTTACAGTGAGCCAAGATCATCCCCCTGCACTCCAGCCTGGGCAACAAGAGTGAAACTCCATCTCAATAAATAAAAATATACTTTCATGATGAGCTCACCCAGGAAGAATATCTTCCATTTCTTTGTCTGCCTATGTAATCATTTCTGGGACACCTCAATGTCACTTCCTCTGCAAAGCCTTTCCTGGCCCCACCATGTATTCACCCACCTGTTTGTATACTTAATATACGATATGGTGAAATCTCATCCAGGGGTGGTATTTTAACTCCAGTGCATTCAGCAGGAATTACAAATGGTCAAGATTACCCTTCCCTTGGGAATATGCCTCTTGGAGACTGCTATATTGTCTTTTTTTTTTTTTTTTAGACAGCGTCTTGTCCTGCCTTCCAGGATACCAAAGCAATCTCTCAGGCTCAAGTGACCCTCCTGCTTCTGGTCTGAGTAGCTGAGACTGCAGGCATGCACCACCAAACCCAGCTAATTTTCTGATATTTTTTTAAAGATGAGGTCTCACTATGTTGCCCAGGTGGGTCTCGAACTCCTGAACTCAAGCAATCCTCCTGCTTTGGCCTGCCAAAGTGCTGGGATTACAGGCATGAGCCACTGTACCCAGCCTTATATTGTGTCTTGTTAAGCAGCATAGCCAGTTTTTCTCCAGCATGGCAACAAATCACTTCATTTGCATACCAAATGAAACTTTTTTTCTGTAGACCTCCTCTCTGGATATGAAATACTTCATTTAGGTTCCAGAAAGTTACACAGTGTTTCAAATGATCATGATGTCATTTATTGTGGCAAAAATGCAAACACTATAAGGCTAGTGGAATCTGAGGCCTGCTGAGAGAATCATTTTCTGCCACCTCCCCAGTGAGCCATCTCTCTCTCATCAGTGTACACATTGAGTGGAATCCCTCCTTTCTTCTCTCCCTGCCAAGGAGAATTCTACTCAGTTCAAGATGTTATGGCCAGGTGCAGTGGCTTGCACCTGTAATCCCAGCACTTTGGGAGGCTGAGGTGAACATATCACTTGAGGTCAGGTGTTCAAGACCAGCCTGGCCAACATGGTGAAACCCTGTCTCTACTAAAAATGCAAAAATTAGCCAGGCATGGTGGCGGGCACCTGTAATTCCAGCTCCTTGGGAGGGTGAGGCAGTAGAATCACTTGAATCCTGGAGGTTGAGGTTGCAGTGAGCAGAGATCCTGCCACTGTATTCCATCCTGGGCAACAGAGCAAGACTCTGACTCAAAAAAAAAAAAAAGATGTTATGACCCAACTGTTAAATTCCTTGATCCGAAATTATTTGTTTGTCCAGCCAAACTGAGTGCTCCTGAAGCACTCAGGAAAGATTCCTAGGGATTATCACATCCCTAGGAATTTATGCTTAGCATACAGTAGGTATCAGTAAAAGTTGGATAAAATCAGTCTCCTTTATGTCAGTCTATATCTACCCCCACCCTTGCCCACTTTTGAGTAATTAATGCAGGAGACCCCTGGACTGCATATATAGCTTTAGGCTGAAAACCAGCACAGGGATCAGCCTACCTCTAAAGGACAGTTGGAGGCCACTGAGGGCCCTCAAACAGCACTTTCCTACTTTTTATTATATCCAGTCTAACCTCCTCAGCATGGACCTCAAGGCCATATACCTGACCACCCTCCCTTCTCTTCCTACCGTCTTACATTCCAGGCCAGCTATCCTCTCCTCTATGGCAGCTTATGGTCTCCAGCCTGCTGAGTGTGCACTGCAATCCTAGAGACATTTTTAACTACCACTATACCCCACTTTACCCCACCATACATACAAGTAGAAGTTTAGCCCTACTAAATAGAGAGCCAGTCTTTGCAGGGTAATTTCAATAGAGTTCTCTTTCTTTATTGATACACCACTGCACACATGAGGGAAACAGTGCTTTTCTGGAAAACACTGGAGTCCATTACATTTCAAATGGGGAAGTAAACTCTGATGTGGGCTAGGAACTTTGGCAGTCAGAGCAGCTGCAGTAAGACTCAGAGGAGCAATCCTTCTTCGTGGCCAGTTTTTGAGCAATGATTATCCCCTCTAGATCCTTCACTTTGTTTTCCAATGTCTGAAGTTTTTTCAAAATTTTCTCTTGCAGACCCAAGGACAGGAAGATATTATTATTATCTTGAATTTGGAGACCACTTCCTTCTGGGTTGGCTAGCAAAGCCTGAAAAATATCTGAGCCCTTCTTGTAAAGTTTGTAGAGTGTGATTACAAACAACAATGTTTTCTAAAATGGAACAACAGAAGTTAAGTGTTATTGTTCATTCATGTGAATGCTACAGTTTACTGTAAGAGAAAAAATAGTAATTCCTCATTCCTATAACAAGTCTCGCATTTAACAAAATATTTTCACACCTACTTCATCTTTTGATTTTCACTGCAAACTGGAGAGGTAGCCAGGTCAGGCAGGATTATTATTTGCGCTTAGTCAATATTGTTATAATAGATACCATTTTCTGAATGACTAGCACATGCGGGGCTCTGTGCTGGAAGTTGCGTCTTCTAGGCATGACCTATTTATGTAGAAAAAAACAGAACTGGATAACTATATACTTTTCAGTTTGAACTCCGTCGTTGTCCAAGGTCATATATTGGAAGTGGTAGAGCTAGGTCAGGAATCCAGGTATTCACACTTCCAAGTACACTTTAGGACTTAGTGGTCTGAAAAACTGGATTTCTTGGTCATGGAAAAGGTTTTTAAAATATACTAGGAGAGATCTGGGCACAATGGCACGCAAATATAGTCCCAACTACTAGGGAGGTTGAGGTGGGAGGATCATTTGAGCCCAGTAGTAGTATGCTATGGTGGTGCCTGTGAATGGCTACTGCACTCCAGCCTGGACAACATAGCCAGACCCTGTCTCTTAAAAAAAAAAAAGCATAATATATATGTGTGTGCATGCGTGTGTGTGTGTGTGTGTGTGTGTGTGTGTGTGTGTGTGTTAGGGCTGGATGCAGTGGTTCACACCTATAATCCCAGCACTTTTGGAGGCTGAGGTGGGAGGATTGCCTGAGGCCGGGAGTTAAAGACCAGTCTGAACATCATAGCAAGACCCTATCTCTACAAAAAAATTTTTTTTAATTAACTGAGCCAAGCCAGGCTTGGTGGCTCACGCCTGTAATTCCAGCACTTTGGGAGGCCAAAGTGGGTGGATCACCTGAGGTTGGGAGTTCGAGACCAGCCTGACCAACATAGAGAAACCCCATCTCGACTAAAAATACAAAATTAGCCAGGCGTGGTGGCACATGCCTGTAATCCCAGCTACTCAGGAGGCTGAGGCAGGAGAATTGCTTGAACCTGGGAGGCAAAGGTTGTGGTGAGCCAAGATCGTGCCATTGCACTCCAGCCTGGGTAACAAGAGCAAAACTCCATCTCAAAAAAAAAAAAATTAGCCAAGCCTGGTGGTGTGTGCCTATAGTTCCAGCTGCTCGGGAGGCTGAGACAGGAGGATCACTTGAGACCAGGAGTTTGAGACTGCAATAAGCTGCGATCACACCACTGCACTCTAGCCTGGGCGACAGAGCAAGACACTGTCTTTAAAACATAAAAAATTAAAAAAATATATATATAGTAGGACAGATCCTTGCTAGGATAAGAAAACATCATCTTGTTCCTTACCATAACAACTAGCATCACTTTTTTTTTTTTTTGAGACGGAGTCTGTCTCTGTTGCCCAGGCTAGAGTGCAGTGGTGTGATCTCAGCTCATTGCAACCTCTGCTTCCTGGGTTCAAGTGATTCTCCGCCTCAGCCTTCTGAGTAGCTGGGACTAGAGGCACCTGCCACCATGCCCAGCTAATTTTTTTGTATTTTTAGTAGAGATGGGGCTTTTTTTTTTTTTTGTATATTTAGTAGAGATACAGTATCTCCTTTAATCCTCACAGCACACACAATTTCTATTCAAGATTTAGATCAGTTGGTTTACATTAAATGAAATTTTTGAGAACTGAATTTCAAATCCTAAAAATGAGATTCAAATTCCAATTTTGCTAGCTCTTACAAACTATTCGAACTTGGGTGGGTGATAATCAAGTTTTCTCATCTACAAAATGGAGAAAATAATCTCTGCCCTGACTACTATGCAAGATTGTGATGGTTTAAAATAGAAAGTACCTGTGACCTTGATTACTAAACAATAGTGACATATGAAAATCAGTGAATGCTAAAGAATGATCCAGTAACAATGTCTCTCTGCATTTATCGAGGAAACTCATCACTCTTAAGAAAGCCCTTTTAAGGCCGGGCACAGTGGCTCACACCTGTAATCCTAGCACTTTGGGAGGCTGAGGCAGGTGGATCACATGAGATCAGGAGTTCAAGACAGACTGGGCAACATGGTGAAACCTCGTCTCTACAGGTGGCACATGCCTGTAATCCCAGCTACTGAGGAGGCTGAGGCAGGAGGATCACTTGAACCCTGGAGGTGGAGGTTGCAGTGAGCCAAGATCACGCCATTGCACTCCAGCCTGGGCAACAAGAGCAAAACCACATCTCAAAAAAATAATAAAAAGCCCCTTTAAAATCCTGTCACCTTAAGTTTCCACTGAACCTCAGTGTACCTCAGTTTCTTCACTTGTTTGAAAATAGCCTCCATCCATTTCATGGAATTTTTGAGATTCTCAAAGCATTGGACTATATTGTATGTCAACTGTTACTATTGGTGACTGCACAGAAGTATGTAAAATCTTGTTTCTCACAATCCCAGCCAGTTAAATTCCTACTCCCCAAAGAGCTCCTGTATACTTAGGGAGCCTTAGTTTGTTAAAACACAATAATGAACACATTGTCATGACTTAATACATTTGCCTCCTTATCAGTTACAGAACAATGGCATAGTAAGAACAGAAAGGCCATATTCAAGATCCTAACTATACTATGGTGCCTATTCTTTTTTTTTTTTTTTTTTTTTTTTGAGACAGAGTTTCACTGTTGTTACCCCAACTGGAGTGCAATGGCACGATCTCAGCTCACCGCAACCTCTGCCTCCTGGGTTCAAGCAATTCTCCTGCCTCAGCCTCCCGAGTTGCTGGGACTAGAGGCGCGCACCACCATGCCCAGCTAATTTTTGTATTTTTAGTAGAGACAGGGTTTCACCTTGACCAGGATGGTCTCGATCTCTTGACCTCATGATCCACCCACCTCGGCCTCCCAAAGTGCTGGGATTATAGGCGTGAGCCACCGCACCGCACCCGGCCCTGTTTTCTTATCTGTAAAACTGGTGTGGTAATAATGGTTCCGTATTCATAGTAGTTTTGAGAGGATTAAATGACTTAATATATAGAAGATGCTTATAACAGTGCATGGTCCACTGTAAGTATTTCATAAGTGTTGGTCATATATAGGCCCGATATGATAAATATCTATAAATATAGTAGCAATCAAAGATGAATAAGTGATAAAAGAAATTTCAAGGGTAAGGCTGTCTTCTCAGGCTACAAGCATGTTTGGTCTATTTTATTATAGAAGACAAGCCAAAGATCATTGTGATAAAGAGCATTTTTATGCCCAAAGCCTAATTGATGGACATTTTCAGCCAACTTAAGAGACAAGGGTTGCCTTTGCACATCTGCATGATCTTAAAACTGGGTGGCAACAGTATGGGAGAGAACTAATTGAATTTCAATTTATAACTATATAAATGTCTGTAACAAAAGAGTATAACCTGAATTGACGGAATACTTCGTTTCCATAAGGCATATATTCCTATTCCCAACAAAGTCAAGAAAGAAATCCTCAAGATGACTTGCAGAGCCGGAGCAATATTATCTAATAGTTCCAAACTTGTGTGCTGAGGTGCAGTAGTCTCTCCCAGAAAACTTGCTTGTATCCAATTCCACATTGTGCTCTGAGAGAGAGCATCTAAGAGGTTGTCCCAGCTAGAAGATGAAGATGTTGACATTTTAATAAGCAGCAGCTCCAGGAACTACATGTTCAGGAAGCTTCAGGAATCTAGATATGAGTTAGGGGGAGTAGCCTGGGTGTCTAGGTGTTCTGTAGCCATTGTGAGTTGTGCTTTGTGATGTCACTGTTCCAAAGGTCAGCTTGCTTTTCACTCACCCAACCAGTGAATCTTACTCAAAACCAACCAGGTACTGGCCTGGGCTTTCAGTTCATTTATATTGCTTTCTCTGATCGTTGGCTAGTTCTAGCTCTAGCATAGTGCTGTCTAATACAACTTTCTGCAATAATGAAAATGTTATTTATCTGCCATGTCCAATATGGTAAACACTAGTTACTTGAAATGTGAATAGTGCAGCAGAAACTGAATTTTACATTTTAATTAAATTTGGCCAGGTGTGCTGGCTCATGCTTGTAATCCCAGCACTTTGGGAGGCTGAGGTGGGTGGATCACTTGAACCCAGGAGTTCAAGACCAGCCTGGCCAATGTGGCGAAATCCTGTCTCTACTAAAAATCTGAAAATTAGCCTGGCGTGGTGGTGTGCACCTGTAGTCCCAGCTACTTGGGATGCTGAAGCAGGAGAATCACTTGAACCTGGGAGGCATAGGGTGCAGTGAGCTGATGTTGCACGACTTCGCTCCAGCCTTGGCGACAAAATGAGACTCTGTCTCAAAAAAAAAAAAAAAAAAAAAAAAAAAAATAGCCACATGTGGCTAGTGGCTACCCTCTTGGATAATGTAGATCTATATTTCCAACAATTCCATCAAATGGACAACAGCTGTTTTCACATTAAAAAAAAGTAAAACTGAGGTGTATTGAGGTTGAATGGAAATGTGACGAGACAAGATTAAAAAAAAATTTTTAAGCCAGAGTGTCACTCCGTCACCAGGCTGGAGTGCAGTGGTGCAATCTCAGCTCACTGCAACCTCTGCCTCTTGGGTTCAAGTGATTCTCCTGCCTTAGCCTCCTGAGTAGCTGGGATTACAGGCACCTGACACCACACCTGGCTAATTTTTTGTATTTTTAGTAGAGATGGGGTTTCACCATATTGGCCAGGCTGGTCTAGAACTCCTGACCTCAAGTGATCCACCTGCCTTGGGCTCCCAAAGTGCAGGGATTATAGGCATGAGCCGTGGCACCCAGCCAGAGATAGTATTTAAACAGGGCTTTCTTAAAGAGTGAGTAATTTACTTGGTAAATAGGTGGAAGGAGGTTACTACTGGATAATTTTGTAGCATTCCCTTCTTTTCATTTGCTGCTATTGTTTAGAAATTATCTTTGGGAAGGCTTTTCACATATTTTCTCTTTGCCGATGGAGATTCCACCTCCTTCACAAGCTTTGCTTTAGGAACAAATGATATAATTTTTTTCTTTCTTTCTCCCTCCCCTCCCCACTCTCTCTCAAATAATTTTCTAATCACTTTGTAAACAGTAGCATGCTATATTATAACCTGCATACATGTTGACAAATCAATTATTTACTGACTAGTACCTATCTACTCATCAAAGAAGTATGACAATATCAAAATAAAATGTATGGTCTGTTCCCAGGAAACATTCATGAAAAAATGCTGTTCACATGTAAGTATATAATCTAAATTGTGAGATCAGATTACAAAGACTAGAATCCAAAAGAGTTTGCACCAAGAGGAGGGGCACAATAAAGGAGAGGCTGGGCACAGTGGCTCACACCTGTAATCCCAGCACTTTGGGAGACCAAGGTGGGCTGATCACTTGAGGTCAGGAGTTCTAGATCAGCCTGGTCAATATGGTGAAACCCCATCTCTACTAAATGTACAAAAAAAAATTAGCCGGATGTAGTGGCACATGCCTGTAATCAAAGCTACTCAGGAATCTAAGGTGGGAGGATCGCTTAAACCTGGAAGGCTGAGATTGCAGTGAGCCAAGATCATGCCATTGCACTGCTGCACTCCAGCCTGGGTGACAGAGTAAAACTCTGTCTCAAAAGAAAAAAAAAACGGTGAACTGAGATGCCTGCCATGTCTCAAACTCTTGAGCTCAGGTAATCCACCTGCCTCAGCCTTCCAAAGTTCTGGGATTACAGGCATGAGTCACCACGTCCAGACCCCTATTGGATTCTTAAATCTCTATGATGCAGGAAGTAAATTCTGTTCAACACTTAACATCCACGGGCTAGCAGATGGGTGTTAACTATTCCCTTCTTAACTATTGAGATAGTTTTCCTATGCCTCTGGTCTTATTATTTTTTTTTTACAGGCTAAACCTGCCAAATACATGCTGACAGATTTTTAAATCTCTTGCCTATCCTGGTTCCCTTCCTCAGAGTGATTCAAACCTCCAAATGCAGTCTGTCACAGAATCACTCCTGCAGGAGAACAAAGAGGTCAGAGCAGGGTAGGCCCCTCTTTCTAGACCCAGTTCTACGTAATAGGGTATATAATCAATAGTATAGAGCCAGGAGATATCACAGTTTTCCTTGGGGTAGGAGGTGAGAAGGAGCAACTTTTCTGACTTTTAGGAGTATCTAGCCTGGTACAGTGGCTGATGTCTGCAATTTCAGCACTTTGGGAGGCTGAGGTGGGAGGATTGCTTTGGTTCAGGAGTTCAAGATTAGCCTGGGCAACATAATGAGACCTCATCTCAAAAAATAACAAATAAAAATGAATACATAAAAGTTTCTTTCAGAAAGAAAAACTTGCCTTTTTCTTATTTATTTTTGAGATGGAGTTTTTTTTTTTTTTTTTTTTTTTTTTTGCTCATGTTACCCAGGCTGGAGTGCAATGGCGCGATCTCAGCTCACTGCAACCTCCACCTCCTGGGTTCAGGCAATTCTCCTGCCTCAGCCTCCCGAGTAGCTGGGATTACAGGCACATGCCACCATACCCAGCTAATTTTTTATATTTTTAGTAGAGATGGGGTTTCACTATGTTCACCAGGATGGTCTCGATCTCTTGACCTCGTGATCCACCCACCTCAGCCTCCCAAACTGTTGGGATTACAGGTGTGAGCCACCGCGCCCAGCATTATTTATTTATTTTTAAAATGGGGTTTCACCATGATGGCCAGGCTGGTCTTGAACTCCTGACCTCAGGTGATCCACCCACCTCAGCCTCCCAAAGTGCTAGGATTATAGGTGTGAGCCATAGCGCCCAGCCCAAACTTGCCTTTTTCATAGGTTACATGTTATTCACAGAAAAACATATGCACAAATTTCCCATCTCTATACTTGAATGAAAGGTCAACACCCTATGCATGACTGTGGAGTTTGAGTTGTATAACCTGGCTTTCACCTATCAAGTTGTATTTCCTGCTATTCACTTTCACAAACAAAACTGAGATTACAGAACTGTGGTATTTTTGGTATTTCAAATACCACCTTCAATTTTCCATCTGTTATTCCTTTATATTAAATGTCCCTCTCTGACATTCTTAGTCAGAAGAGATTGGAAACTGGACTCCATCTCTATTTGTGCCAGCCAGGCAAGCCACTTGATCTTGAAGTTGTCAAATAAGGATAATAACAGCACCTATTTAATGGGATTATGAAAATTCAACAAGATAATTTTATGTAAAGTGCTAAAAAGCATAATTACCCTGAATTCTCACAGTATTTCCCACTTCCAGGCCAGTGCTTCTAGAACTTTTCTATGCCTAAGAATCACCTAGAGATCTTACTAACATGGAGATTTGAGTCCAGTTGGTCTAGAGTAGGGCCTGAAATGATGCATTTTCATTAACAATCTTCTAAGTGATGCCCATAGTGCTGGCCCACTATCATACTTTAAGTAACAATGTTTTGAGATACTCCAGCCCTCCCTTCACATTGTTAAATCTCCTTGATGGCCCTGACAAATTTACTTTGGTATTTTTGTCTCCCAGAGCATCTGGAATTGTATCTCTTTAAATGTGTGTACTAAAATATTTAGTGAATGACTATGTCTTTGGCAGTTCAGCTCAGTAGGCCATTTGGGACTGAGAAAGGATAGATTGAGAATGGAATACCCCAAGAGAGGCTAATAAAAAACTTTCTTCTCCACAGTTCCTTACCCTTTTTCACACATGGGCTCATGAAAATGGGGAAAACACTGAAGCAAGAGAATTCTGGGTAAGAGGCAAGAATAGAAGTGTCTGGATGTCTTCGTTCCTACCCACCATTTTGGGGGCACTCTTGAATTGAAAAGCTTTGAAACCAGTCAGTGCTTTCAGGTCAGTGCCAGGGTTGAGACAAATTCCACAGATAGCAAGTTAAAATGATTACTAAAAGCTACAAAAATAACCCTTTGCCTTTTGTTATCATATAGTTACTCATGCTAATTTAAACATAAAAGTCTTTTTCTTTTTTTTGAGATGAAGTTTTGCTTTTGTTGCCCAGGCTGGAGTGCAATGATGCAATTTGGCTCAGTGCAACCTCTGCCTCCCAGGGTCAAGCGATTCTCCTGCCTCAGCCTCCCGAGTAGCTGGGATTACAGGCCTGTAACACCAAACCGGACTAGTTTTGTATTTTTATTAGAGACGGGGGTTTCTCCATGTTGGCTGGCTGGTCTTGAACTCCTGACCTCAGGTGATGCACCCACCTCAGTCTCCCCAAGTGTTGGGATTACAGGTATAAGCCATTGCACCTGGCCTTTTTTCTTTTTTTGACACGGAGTTTCGCTCGTTACCCAGGCTGGAGTGCAATGGCGCAATCTCGGCTCACCACAACCTCCGCCTCCTGGGTTCAGGCAATTCTCCTGCCTCAGCCTCCCGAGTAGCTGGGATTACAGGCATGCGCCACCATGCCCAGCTAATTTTTTGTATTTTTAGTAGAGATGGGGTTTCACCATGTTGATCAGGATGGTCTCGATCTCTTGACCTCGTGATCCACCCACCTCGGCCTCCCAAAGTGCTGGGATTACAGGCATGAGCCACCGCGCCTGGCTTTTTTTTTTTTGAGATGGAGTCTTGCACTGTCGCCCAGGCTGGACTGCAGTGGCACAATCCTGGCTCACTGCAAGGTTCAAGCAATTCTCCTGCCTCAGCCTCCCAGGTAGCTGGGATTACAGGCATCTGCGACCATACCCGGCTAATTTTTTGTATTTTTAGTAGAGGCAGGGTTTCACCATGTTG